GTCCGATGTTTCACAGTTTCCATGTGCATGGAATGCACAATCTCTTGTTATCCTCGAAATGCACCAGTGAAATCATAGAAATAATGAAATAATGTAATAATGTAATAGAGTTGAGCCGTACAACCACGTTGCATCAGAACGCCTAGATCTTGAAGGCGGATCTAGATATTTCCCCCTCTTTTCTCTCTCTTTCTTTCTCTCTACATATGCTGCCGTTCGTTTAAGAATCATAGAAAAATAGTCTGTTCATGGTTAGTTAGTCAGCACGTTGTGGGTGATAGGCGGTCAATAGTCATGGTTGACCAACGACAACAACACTAAATATTCGACGAAACATATTTATTTTTAAGCATTTATTTAGCGGCGCGAATATAACCGCCTTGAAATTTACCGGATATATACGAAATAATTATTCTATACCTCTTGAGAATCATCACCGTGTCGAATGACGAATTGGCTAGGTGAAGCTCCATAAACGGCGCTGCTTGAAACTGGTGATCTCTTGACAGGATCTTTAACATCTATTTCTAACAAAACAATGTCATCGGAACTGTCCGTCGATGACACCGCTTTTTTAGGGATGCTAGAAACGGTCTCCTCTCCAACGGAAATTGACAAGAGGCCTATTGATTTCAAATATTATTAAATAATATATCTAATTTATTATTAATCTTTCATTAGTAATATACAAAGCATTTTTTGCAGAAATAGAATATTTTTGCAAGTTTTTCAAAAGAAGGATATTGTTTACTGTATAAGATGTCAAGTTTTATCTAAATATTCTTTTTCAGAGTTCAGTGATTGAATAATCGAACGTGGAAGTGACTTTTACCTATATCGTTCTGCCTGACCGCGAACGCTTAGAATGGAGCTGGGAAAGCAACGTAGAGAAAGTTGCAAGCGACGTGCACTCAAGAAACTCTTCCCACGGATTTTGCTTTCAATATTTTCAGGCATCTCACCAGAAAAAGATAAGTATATAAACAGTTTTTTGCTAATAAACCGGAACGCGTTAATTCTGAAGAAAATTTTTTTAGCTATAAATTCTTTTTATATTTTGACAAAAAGATTAAAAAAGAAACAACTTTTATGTTGATAGAATTGAAATTAAAATTCGATCTCAATTTGCTATTTCATCTTAATATACGGGCTAAGCTAAGTTTACTGTAATATATAACGACAAATCTGATGGATTTTATTTTCTTCCAATAGTACAAAGTTAAAATTACTTATAAAAATGAAAGGTCAATATTTATTATGTAAAAATATTTAACGTGGTGTGTACTATAGTGTTCTCCGTGAGTAAATAGTTATGTTTCGTGAGCAAATGTGATACAGTCCTTATTATTTTAACATTAGACAACACTCTTGTTACGATTGGCATATATTTACTGCAGAATCTATTGGAATATATATATATATATATATATATATATATATTATATATAATATATATAA